AAAAAAATATTCACATTTGCTTCACCTTGCGGGCTAGAAAGTAGAACCCACAAAAGCCCTAGTTCTTGAAGCATAAACTATAAGAAAAGATAGTAACTTCTTGTTTTCAAATTTACCATCAACAAGTATATGAATATTCAATGGCTCAGCTACATATATCCACTTTCTTTTTATGTTGTAGTTTTGCTTATACTCGTGCAACCCTTAAGTGTAATTATTCTCTATACTTAATTTTTTATATCTATTATAGGAAATTTAAATTTATAATTAGTTTTATAGATTATATATCTATTTAGGACATGCTCTAATATATAGATTTAATCATTATCTTGACTTAATTCTTATACCTTGGTCTAGTAATTGAAATCTTAGATTAAATGGAGATCATTTTTTGTGGATTAATCTTACGGATCCTATTCTCCCTTTAGACTTTTGATTTTTAATTAAATTGCTGTAACTTATATCTTTATGAATGGATTTGTTTACACCCATTTTTGCAAAAAAAATAGAATGGTACAACGTGTCATCCATGTTGGCAAGAATTTCATTGGTTGAAAGTTGTTGGAGTAAATCTCTATGGATAAAGTTGAGTGGTTATTTCTATAACAACAGCAAAACCGTTCGTTTGTTACGAGTTTCTAGGAGGATAATCGGCAGCATCAACAAATTAATCGGGTTGTTTCAGATATCACGCTGCTTTTGGTTTCCAAGATTGCTACCACAGATTTCCAAGCATGCTGCCAAGGGGTGTTTATTGCTATAAGTATGCAGATAAGAAACAAAGCGAAGTAGACTAGCCTCTCACACAACTAGCCCAACGCTATCTACATTTTAGTTTTACAAGCAATGTCTTAGTTTAAATCTAGTTTTTTCAAACAGCTTTCCTAATTTAGTCTTTAGCTCTACGCTGCCATTAATTTTAATTTTGATTTTTGTTATTTTGTTGTGAATATCTCCACCTGATATATTTAGTTTCTTTTGCAATTGAATTTACTGCATTTTGCCCCAAAATTCATCATCCTAGCTTCTTTTAAGTCTAGTTTTACACTTCAGTTTTTATTTCATTTTCTACATTTCATGCTTTCGCAGCAACATCACGCTTTCTTTCTGCAATTTAGTTTTCCTGCCATGCACTCTCTTTCTTCTCCTTTTCTTTATTTTCCTCTTTTATTTTGATCAACAAACTAACATTTTGACCCTAGTTGTGGGAAGTTCCTGATGTTCTTCTAGGACAATTAT